GAAAAAAAGAAATATAGCAAAAAGGTCTTAAGCACACAGACCGGGTTCAGGTATTGGTTTAAGACTAGAAGTCTAGATCAAGTGTTTAACATAAGTCTAGATGGTCGCTGCTGCATTTTTGGATATTGTTATCTTGCAAGTCCCCTAGCTTCATGTAACTGTAAAACTAAATCAACTACTGCCAAAAGCAGAGACTTTGAAGCTTTTTTATGCAGTTTTGTATATTACTGTGCCTGTTCAGAGTTGTGTAACTTTGTGTCTGCGTGTGTGTGTTTGTATGTGTGGGAGCTTGTATAACATGTGTGGGACCCACATCAGGCAGTGGGAGGAGGACAAGATATGTGTGGGAAAGCTCCTGCTGAAGGACTTCACACACACACACACACAAACGTACACACATCCACACATACTTTCTTTGATCACTTGTACCTTTAAGTTATTTTCTTCATCTTTGCTGTATCGATTTCTTCCACCCTGCTGTGCTTCAGCTCCAGTCAAGTAGCAGCAGCTTTACCACAATTGAGCTTTTAGTAGCACTGTTGCGTTAAGAATGGGAATAGAATCCCCTGACAGGTGGTGTATTGTATGTGTGTCTGTGTGTGTGTAAGTGTGCCACGCTGCAGGTATTCCCATCGCCCGCCGTGACCATGCAAAAGTCATTATCAGAGTGAATGCGGCCTGCAGACGCTCATACATCACTGTTAGTGTTCTTCATTAAAGTAGGAGGGTCAGCAGAGATTGATTAAAAAGAAAACCATACTGAGAGGAAAGTGTAGGAATTAATTCTTCTTTTAAGTGAAGGTGTTTCAGTTCTACCTGCCCTCACGTAGCCTGGGTTACGTGACTGTGTTCACAAAAGAGGCTGAGGAATGGACAATAGACTCACTGAGGCAAAACCATTGTTCAAGGTTACAGGAAACAGCATCTCAAGGAGAATTTATTGTGTGTGTGTGTAATATTATCATCTGTGGTTCTGGATTGTGTGCATGTGTTTGTGTGTGCTTGTGCCTGTGTATGTGTCATGGATTTTGAATCTCAGCCGGCATTATAATCACAGCACGGCATCAGGCGGCCGGCTCACAGCATTCAAGTGAATGGAACGAATCGCTGTGTCGTGTTGTGAGGTGGAGTGTGACTCCCAGCCACAGGGAATTGTCAAGTGGATGACAAAGGTTTACCAACTATTTTTCTAGTTTTGATGTGACTTGAAAACTTTTAATTACGCAGCTTTTTTCCCTCACTGTGTAATCAATTCGCACACAGAGCCTGAGATATTTGGGACCATGAAGAAGGAAATGAGACACTTGTTGGGTGTGGTCTCACCACGTAGTGTCAGATTTTGGATCTGTGTAGAGCAAATTAGTTAGAAAGAACTGAAATAAGTCAGGGGTCTTAAGGATAAACACATGATGAAGAATATAGAAACATGTAGAATATTGCCCAGGTATTGTGGAAGTAAAGCTGGGGCTGATGGAGTTTTGCGGGTATTTTGTCAAAAACCAAAGTATTGGACAAATAGAAATGTTGACCCAATAATTAATGACATCAGGAGATCACCAAGCTTGTTAATGCTTTTAGCTCAAGTCACCGCTGCGCAGAGATGCTCACAAGTCTCTGAGCTAGAGTCCAAGTCAAGTCTCAAGTAACTTGTGGTTATAATCAGTGCTTAACTTAAGCGCTTTGCGCTCCGGCACCTCTAAAGTGCGCTGCGTCACTGCACTGCCCTTCTACACAAATAAAATCCAATAGTTCATCCAGCCTAATAGGGTAAGTCTAATGGATTTCCTTATTTAGCCTACTATTTGATTTGGTGGCTATTAATGGTTTCTGTTCGCCCTTTAAAGAGGTGGTATTATGCTTTTTACCTTCTTCCCTCTCCTTTAATGAGTTATATACCTTTTTTGTGCATGTAACAGGTTTGCAGAGTGAAAAAGCCCACAGAAAGCTCTGATCTGAACTGCCTGAAAACAGCTTGTTTGTAGTCCAGCCGTTTAGCCTTAAAGCTAAATGCGCTTAATTTAACACTCGACTGCGCATGTGCAACTCCCAACAAAGATCATTTAGAGACAAGATGTATCACTCCATAGCTAAAACGAAGCCTTCAACACAGGGTGAAAAGAGGAGCTGCAGCAATGTGCAGTATGACAAAAAATATGCTGTTTTTAGAAAATTAAACCATGTAAACCTGTTCTGGTTCAACACCTAGATAGGATTTTGAACCTATAAATGAGCATAATACCACCTCTTTAAAATAATGTACCTAATCATTTATAAATTAAGCACTGGTTATAATGAATGTTGTATCATCTGCTATGTTCCATCCAGGTTGCTAATAAAACTGCATAGCTATAAGTAATCCTGTAACTGTAACCTGTTTTTCACTTACAGAGCACAACCATGTAATGCTTATTGCGACAACTAATCACAGCTTATAAACTACTATAAGTCAACAGATCCCCCAGACTCTCAAATCAGTGTAACGTTATAACTAAATAAAACTGTAACGTTACATGATCAACAATAAACTGTAACCTGTTTGCAGCCGACGTTAATAATTAACGTGAGTAAATGATTACATTAACCGACCACCACAAGTTTGGCAAGTAAACAAACGCTCATTCATCTTTTCATAACAAATGACAGTCGGAGTTAACCTCCCGTAGGTCGTAGCTGAAGCAAGAAGCAAGCTAACGTTAGATTTTCAATGCTGAGCTAAACTTGTTCACTCACCACAGGTTGCTAACCTATTTTGCGTTCAGCGCGTCTTTGTTTGGGCCTTGTTGTATGTAAGTTTTAAAGCAGGGAGGGGAATAACAGCACGCTCATCGGATGTTTCCTATAAAATAAACATTGTTCACGAGTCCCGCACCTTGAGTCTCAAGTAAAGTCTGAAGTCACTGTGTGTGCGACTTAAGTGTGACTCGAGTCCGAGTCTCAAACTCGAGTCCTACAGCCTCACAGAGCCGCTGCCAGGACTGTAGAATCTTAGTTTTGTTCCAGGGAGAATTACGATGAGGGAGTATGTGCTGAGGCACTGGGATACCACTTGCAGCAAGGAAAATACTGTGTTAGGGTGCATTGAAACTTTATATTCATGAATTTGAGCTGTACCCAGTGGTGTAAATGGGGGGGCCTGCACGGAAATACCATTCCAGGAGTACAAGTTGGAATCAATTCATCTGTTAAACAAGCATAAACATGTGGAAAGCAATATTTTAATCTGCTCTGTTTCTCATCCACTGCTGCTATGTTTTACATAAACACAGCTAATTGCAAATTGTTACAAACAAGAAAACAATAATGAAAGCTGTCTGTATGCAGCTGTGTAGCTTAGTTTGCTGTGAATCTTAAAATCTGGCAAATTCTTGTCTTGCTGCTGGCGGAGACAAACCAGCTGCTCCTCACTGTACCAGGCAGTGAATCACAGCCGCAGAGGCAGGAGGAGGAGGACAGGGGGAAGGACTGATGTCTGAGTTTTTCATTCTTTCTAAACTTCACACAGTATTTTCATGTCAAGAATATCATTTATTGTACTGACATTTTAGATTTGTTTCCAGTGAGATATTTTTGAGTAATAAAACAGCATTAATAACCCTGAAACAACACAACAATCAGGGCACATAAGCCCCGCCCCCACCAGCATACCCCGATCTGTTGCAAAATGGAACGGCTCGCACTGTACTGTGGATTATTCAACGTTTATTCATTCTCTTGGGTCCGCAGCAACACACTCGCCATATATGAGGTTGATTGGATGAACGGTTCTTGACATAATCGAAGTACCCACACACCCCACATACACAAATTCCTGCTTTCATTACAGAAATTATTATTATTGTTGCATTATTAACACTACAATCAAAGTACACACATTTTATTGAGACCCACTTAATTTCCCTGGGACCCACTCGGATGACCACATGTGGTGTCCTGGAGACTCACTACATTGAAAACCTGTAAACATCACTGAAGCTGTCGGGAAATTCGAGAAATCAAAATCAATAGTGGTGGCTTTAAGATTTCCTAAAACATTTGACATATTTAGTCATGTTAATGTAACTTTAATCTTGATTTACTTTTATATTTTCTGTGTGTTTTTGTGTCTATTGTTGTTTGTTGTTGTAGGACAGGAGAGGAGATAGCAGAAAATAAAATTTGCTTTGTTACCTGAAAATTCCTTGTCTGTTGTTTTGGAGTGGGTCATGAAACTCTGGAGAATGTACAGCAGCAAAATCTGTAACAAGGCATCTTCCAGCAGCTTAAAGGCAGAGCAGAAAATGGCACTAAGCAGCGGCTGTACCTGGGGATCCATCCCTTTGAGAAATCACTTCAGGCCTCGTTTTCTAATCCAGATTCAATTTAAATACAATTACCAAGATTGTTCCGCAATTCATCACTGAATAAAAAGTCCAATCTCCCCTGAGAGAAATTAGGAGGCAGGAACAGAGAAGTGATCAGACAGAAGACTGGTGACGTGTCCTCTTTTTCTTCCTTTAGATGATAATTGTGAGTGCTGAGGATCTGATCTTGGGTCAGTGCGTCTGCCACTGCTGCTGTGATTAATGACCTGGATGTAATGTGATTGGCTGCAATGGGATCAGCAGATGGAGGCTTACTGTCTGACATGATTTGCAGCAAAGAAAACCTTAATCTACATGTTTCAACATGTTTCGTCCTGTTGAGAGGAAATCACACACCGGAGCATAATCTGCAGATGCACGAAAACTGTTTGTCCAGTCATCTGTCTTTTATCTGTTAGTCAGTGTTTTTTTTGTTGAAGGTTAATCATTATTGTTATTATTCCATTTTTTGATTCCAATATTGGTATTTGCATACTTGCTTTCGGGCACAAAATTACCATGACCAATTCCTGGACCAGCATACACAACCCCAAATAACTGCAGGATGAGTCTTTATTGCTTTTGTAGTCCACCATTGTTCCTCTCTCTCTCTCTCCCTCTCTCCCTCTCTCTCTCTCTCTCTCTCTCTCTCTCTCTCAGTGGGATTCCTGGGAAGAAATGTGGAACCATCATCTTCACAGCCGAGGAGCTCAGTAACTGCCGGGTTAGTATCTGATCATACTCAGGACACACACACACGCTCGGTGTACATAGACACAAAACCATCCAGGTTGAAAATACTGAAGCCACCCCTAGACAGGGGTCAGAAAGTTAAGCACAAAAGTCTGAATTCATAACAGTCACGCAGTGTGTTTCCATTTTTAACTTTGCCGAGGGAATTTAAATGACCGCCCAGACTTAGAATAATTTTGTCATATGCATCAAGTGGAAGGAAAGTGAATTTGTACTTTTCCTTCAAAGTGACGATGAGAGCCGCTCATGAATTATTTATCCAGTCTTAAAGTTCATTTTTCTTGCCACAGTGGGTAAATAAGTAGAGACTCCAATCAAAGAGAGAAGCTTATGCAAGCACACATACTCCACACACAAACATGCGCGCCATGGTATTACAGCGTGCACTTTTACAGGCAAAATTCCATGCATGCTGGTAATGATTTAAATAGTGAAGAAGCAGTTTGGTGTAACCTTCCTCATACCATATCATACATATGACTGTGAGGATTCCTTGAGGACTTCAGAACACAAAGTTTTTGTTCACATTATTAGTTATGGTTTGTGAATGTCATGGATGAATTATCAGTTCTATCTGTGTGTCTTTACCTTATGTTCCTGATTTATTTGAGTTGCTGTTGTTCATGTACATGTTCTTTAAAAAGCTGTAAACTTCTTCTTTGCCAGTTTCTGTGCAAAGCTATCCACCATATTAATGAAATCCTTTTCCACCCATTCCTTTTGCAGTTTAAGAAATGTACGGCACAAGAACAACTCTTCACATTGATCTCCCATTAGCTCTGTCAGCAAGTCATGCTGGATTGGGGTGGCAACCCATGCCTTTGGTGTGAGAGACTCAATTCCCCACTGTTCCCCACATCCACCATTGTGTCCCTGAGCAACACACTTAACCCCTAGTTGCTCCAGAGGCGTGCAACCTCATATATAGTAATTGTAAATTAATAAATTAAATTAATTACCAGATTAAATTAATAAATGTAATGGATTGTTTTCAACCCTCCACGTGTGTATATGTCATTATCATGTTGCTTGAAAGGTTGGGGAATGAGCACAGTTTTAATTTATATTCTTATTCATTTATTTAGCCTGATATAAACCCTTTATGACATAATTGTTGTAAACCTCAGTGGTATCAAACTGATGTATGTTAAAGTAAGTGAAAATTGCCCAACAGGGTGACCTGATATTACATAATAATGGACACAGTGGAGGTGAGTACAAGTTCACTATTTGTATGGGGACTCTTCGATAGCATTGTATTGCACGCACGCTAGGTCACTTATCAAATAAACATGAAAGGCTGAGTGAAAATCGTTATTCATTTTTTTGAGTGTGTCCTCAAAGATTAGTTAATTAGTTAGTTTCACCAGTGCCAAAGAAAAATAGCACAAAGAAAGTGTTGTTACTGTCTTTTTCACCAGTTTAAGAAAGGGGCACTTTTCAATTTTACATCAAGATCAGTTTGCTCATCTTGTACTCAATGTACAAAGAGTACTACTCAATGTGTGAAAATTATTTTATTCATGTCTTCTGTGGCTCTGGATGATGTCATCAAGGTTACCCAAGCTTGGGCTAGAAAAATAACAATTTATAACAAAATAACTTGCATTACAAACTGGGGATGTGGTATTTGAAAGACTTTAATGTTACCAGACAGGGAGGGTGTAACAAAACCCACTAGTATCAAGATGTAGTGCGGGATGCATCGGAATCTGTGTTTTTTTGGAGCTCGACTAATACTAAATGAAAGACAGTATAACTCAATTGGACTATTGTGTTTTTAATCTCTCTTGTGAATTCCCAAACCTAATGGATATACAATACAGATAATAAATAACAATAATCACTGGCGTGCCCTTTTAACAATCAAAATAAACACATAAATTCAAAGAAAGCCCCTCCAATGGGCCACAAGATAAATCTTGGGTGTGATCAGTTGACGGTTTTTGTTAAATATTTAATAATTTGACCCCTTCAGGTCTTGAATATTCAAGTGACTTATTCAAATAAAAGCATCAGTGACATTGTCAGTTTCTCTTTGGTGAAACTGCTAACAGCTGATAGACATCTGAAATGTGACATCGAGGTCACAGGCCAAAAAGGATGGGAACCATGGCTTTGATCTTTAACAATGCGCTGTATTTATATTTATGTTTTTAAATGAAAAATCTTAATCTGTTAGTAACTATAACTGTCAAATAAATGCAGTAAAATGTACAATATTTCCCTCTGAAATGTAGTGGAGTAGGGCAAAAGAAGGACACTTAAATATATTTAGCTACTTTCCACTATTGTTATTCGTAATTTATTAATTCACTTAAATTTTCAGTCTGTAAGTTTTAGTGGCATCTAGTTGTGACAGTTGCACATTGCAACCATCAACTCAAATAAAGTAAATTCAAGTTCTTCTCGGATGGTTTTATTTCCCAAGTTGTGAAGTCATTCTTCAGTGCGTGTTCATGTCCTCTTAAGTCGGAATGTGGAATTGACGCTTCTACAAAGATGTGTTGGATTATTATTATTATCAGAGCTTATAACAGTCATACATCTAGTTCACTCTGCATGGACAGCAAACTTACTATTATAACCACATAACAAATTAAATTTTTGCAAAAGCTTTTATTTGCTAAAATCACAGAATTGACCCTGCCTTTATTTGGGACAGGCGTCCATATGGGACGGGCCTTTAATTTCTCTCGCACAAAAGTGAAATAGGTTACTATGAAACAGTTTGTTTATTTCAAACAGAATATTACTTTTATCTTACTTTTTTAAATTATCCAATAATATCAAATACACATCACTCATTTGATCTAACTCAACAGACAGCTTATGCGCTTTTATTTTGAAGGCAGCAACGTAAGGTGCAGGATGAGAAAAGTGTGGCAGAAGTTAGCAGACAGAGAGCGATGGACTTCACATGACAGGATTCATAAGTTGAATTAATTTTTCAATGAAATGAAAAGCTGTTTGATTCTTTTGATCGGTGGACCCTTACAGACTAAAGGAATATAAATAATGAACTAACGGACACATTCAGACTTAATGAGCACTTCAAAGGTAACAGGAGTCAGCACTTTTTTTTTCTTTTCATGTCTTGCAGGTTACACCAGTAAATCTACAATAATTAGACTTTGGGGATCGTTGTTTCCGTTAAATGAACTGAACGATTAAATTGTGGAGAATAACAATGTCCAGCATGTCCATGCTGACATATTGATCATATGTTTAAACATTAGGTCTAATATTTGTATTAATGATCTGAGCAGCTTAGAAGCAGCTAAAGCAGGTGACCCGCAGGGTTTTAGAGGTTTTTATACGTCCAAAGAACTTATATAACTCGGCTATTAATTGAAGTTTTACGGTAATATACAGTAACTAATATATTGCCTTTCTGTCAATATATCCTCCTAATTATTACACACTGATCCTTTAATACTAATGCAATCTAGTTGTACCTAATAAACTGGCAACTGAATTGAAGTCTCAGATCTCAAAGATCAAACCTTACATTTAGTCAAGTAAAGACAACCAAGTCTTAATCTGTGGGTTTTCTGTTCTAATCAGGTCATAATGTGTTTTTCTGGGCCTGAGGAAGGTAACGTTTCTTAGAAGCAACAATGCTCAAGGCCAGGTCAACTAATGAGTAAATGGTGTTTAATTTAAAAACATTAATGGAAGGTGTTGTTGTTTCTTCCAGGACATAGCCACCATGCAGCTCTGTGCCAACAAGCTGGATAAAAAGGATTTCTTTGGCAAGTCCGACCCTTTCCTCGTCTTCTACCGGAGCAATGAGGATGGGACGTAAGTGTGTGTTTTTGTTTGGTGTGTGTGTTAAATGATTTATAGTATAATCCATCTGGTAGCCCTTGAGCTGAGGTGAGTGTGACGCTCCTCTGTTTCAACTGAAAATCTGATAGCAGATTTCTCTCTTGGATCCAGTCCCATCAGGACTCTGGAAGATTCTTTCCCATCAGATGGAAGAAGGGCTAATAGATTTTCTTGACACTGAGACAGAAAGTTCTAATCTGCACTTACTGTATCCTTCAATATTTCACACATACACTTCAGGATCAAACCCCTCTGTGAGCATGTTCTGTTTCTGCAGTTTCATGCTGAAAATTTAATTTAGTTGAGGTGTATTCTGAGAGACTGTCTGTGTGTCTGAATGAGCTAAATTTGAATGCTTACCCAGGGAGCAAAACAATATTAGACACATATATGCACATATCCTTTACTTTACATATTACATTCTAAAGGAAGTGGTGATCAAACCACTGTAGTAACATTTCTGAAACATTTCCTGTCCACCCTAACTTCCATCTTCCTGTAGTTGTTTTTATTTTTAGAATCATCCTCCTCACCATGTTGTCATTTTGCATTTCCAGGTTCACCATCTGCCACAAGACTGAGGTGATCAAGAACAATCTGAACCCTGTTTGGCAGCCGTTTACCATCCCTGTTCGAGCACTCTGTAATGGAGACTATGACAGGTGAGAGGGCAGCACAGGGATCAGAGGCTTTGGGAGATGTTATTATGATTATGAAATCATTAGTCACAAAAACTGCATGGAGTGATGTTCTGTGGGAAAAAGATTTGCTCCTTTCTAGTTTAAAATTGTTGAAGAAATCTAAGGGTAGTAAGTGCCATTTATGAAATCATCGTACCTTCATCCTGTTGGTTTTAAGCAGCTTCAAACACTTTTCCCTTGGCATTAAATGTGGTTCATATTGCATTCAGGAAGAACTGGTTGTAAACGTGACTACACTGGATAAGCATGATGTCCTTAAGGGGGAGAACCAGAACATACAGTATAACAATTTGCATTCCAAAAAATGAATGGGACAGTTTGGATTTTTTAAGTGGGGCTTTATGAAGTACCTATCCATATTCCAAGTTTGAAGAAGCAGAGAGTTGTTCCGCAGAACAGAATCAATATCAGTTCAATTGTCTGGGAAGCTTCTCAGTCATCCAGGTCATAGTTATCTAAGGAAAGTTAAAGTCTGGGGCTCCTTCTTTGTGTGATTTGGGTAGTCCGTATTGGAATGGCTTCTCCAGGATACAAACAGTAATATTGTTCATGGGTGATGACTATAATAATAATAATAAAACATTTTATTTGATGGCGCCTTTCATGGCACTCAAGGTCACCTTATATTACCATTTGTATCCTGGAGAATCCATTCCATGTATGTACGGACAAAACATCTTCGAGTATCGTCTATCAGTTCAATTGTACACTACATATTGCATTTTTTCAGCTCTTTACCTTGCTATCAGACAGCCTTATGTGTAGAAATTTTTACAGTCCTGAAATGTAGTTCCAAAGGAAATGGAAAGGAAATTTTCAGGTGGCTTCTTTTAGGTGGCTGAAATATGATTTGCTGCTGACCCTGACCACACCAGTTTATTGCTTAGCTTCCAAGCCAGTACAACTCTCTGCTCCAAAATGACTATGGATGAGTACCATCACTTAAAGAAAAAACTGAAATATCCCTTTAATATACTTAATATATTTAGGTTTAGGTCTAGTTTCCTATTAAAACCTTTAATCTGCTACTTGAAATACTGACGTGTTGAGATGTTTTTTTCTTTGGTATTACACAAAAAAAGTAAGGACACAGCCTGCTGAATGTATAAGGATGAGACCTCTGTGGTGGTCAGAATAATGCCAGCAGTCGGCCGTGCTCTTGGTCTCAGGCCAGTGCTGGTGTTATTGAGACCAACATAAGGGCGATGCAGCAATAATGTCACAAATATCTAAATTATTATACTTACACTGGCTATAAAACTTTAATCCAAGTTTGAAATTAAACTTTATCCTAAAATAAACCTAATTCTTGTTTTAACCTTAAGCCCAAATCCTAATTTGGTTCTGATGATGATAGAACTACAGGAATACTCAAACACACACACATTTTTGTCTTCTTTTTGTTTTTAAACTGGCCTCTTTCCTTCATTTCATCATTTGACTTTACTGTTGCTAGGTTGTGTTGGACAAAAGCAAAATGTACACAAAAGACCACAAAAAATGCTGTAGTAGAATGGACAATTGACCCATGTTTGCCATAAGAAGGTGTTGGCTTGTCAAATATTATCCTCTTCAACCTCAGTGGCCACCACACTGCCTTGGTCCATTAATAAAAACCCAGGCGACAGTCAGATTTTTTCTTACTGACAAGAAATTCCACAACAGCGATGATTGTACTGACAAGTATTGTCTGTCTATCCAAAGCCTGATAGATCTAATTGTTCTGTGCCATAGAGCTCCGTTGTTGTCACATCGGTGAGCCATACTGTTGCACTGGGCGACATGTTCCTTCATTACCAACAACACATTAATTAATCTGCTGCTAAAAATAGTCCCCAACAAATGCACCGTTTACTCCCGTTCGCTCAATTTTTGCTTTGACATTTTGGATTTGAATATTACATTCAGTGTCTCATCAGCATCATACTGTTCGTATAATGTCACAATAGTGCAAGCAGGCCAGTACAAATCCAGGACAAGCTGTCCAAACAGGGAGTAGGTTCAGGAAAACTAAGCAAAGATCAAAAAATACCAGGAGAACTAACACTAGGGAAAAGGCTGGAACACTTGACACAGGGTACAAAGACGAACTAGCACTGAGACAGGGGAAGACACAGACTAAATACGTTACGGAAGGATAATGAGGGTAGGAAGCGAAGTATTTGAAACGAAAGGTGTGGTATTTCAAAATAAAACAGGAAAAAATCAATGAGTGACATAAAACAAAGAAAAACATAACCTAGGGAGCAGGGACTTGAGATGGGCCGAGGTCAACTGAGGAGCAAATTCTGACACATACTGTAGCTGTACCTCAATATGATGGAAGTGAAATCAGGTTTCAGAGGGTTAACAGTATATTATTACTGAGGCTGGATTATCAACTGAACAGGCAGCCCGCCCCCAGATGCCGAGGGGTCCCAGAACCACCAGGTTCATTGTGTGTCACGTAGTTTGTGATCATTTTATTAGTTGCAAATTTGTTTCTGAATATGCACCAATAAAGCACCGGGTAAATTGAAATGATAGAGACATCCATTCAGGTCCTGCACTATTACCTAATTTAGAGGCCCTGTCTTGTAGAGGGGCCAAAATTCTAGTTTAGGGCCTTGATTATTTTCCAGCAAACACAGGTGTACTGGTTAGTCTCCGACCACTGTAGGAAAAATATAATCAAGATGTTATATGTGTTCTACTGCGGATACTGTTCTTGATGGATATTTGATGCAAGAGTGGCAGGCATTGGCACTGCCATTTAATCTTTCATTATGCTGTATTGTCATGGAGGGTATGCTATGGAGCACAAGAGTCAGGGATACATAGCACTCAGAGTGGGGGTGTATGGGTATGTGTTTTCATTGCATATAAGGATCAGTTCCAAAAATACTGGTGTATTCTCTTTTATGTCAGGCATCTAACCTTGTTACGTAACAGGTGTCCTTTTTTATACTGGTTTTTGTCGGTTTACCTCCTGACTTACTCTCGCTCTGTCGATTTCTCTCCCCTGTCCCTGTGACGCTTCTCTTTCTCTTTCTCACCCTGACAATCTCTCTCCTCACTGAATCTCACCTCTGTCTGTCTCATCTCCGCTACATCATCTCACCTCCCTCCAGGACAGTCAAGGTGGACGTTTATGATTGGGATAGAGATGGGAGGTAAGTTCTCAACTCGCTATCTCTTACTTTTTCTTTTATTCATTTTCAGCTTCAGATTGAATCCCACAAATGTCACACCCTGTTCTGTCTGGGGGCAGTTATTTTAGTCTTATTATTAGGTATTAGACAGATGGAGGGCTCCACCCACCTGGAACACGCTGGTTGATGAATCAAAAACACTGCTGACCGCAGTACTGACAGCTTCTCTTTCTCACTGACAGTGGGTTCCTTTTACGGGCTCCTCTGACAGACTTGTAAGATTAATTTAAGTTTTTTTAGGCAGTCTGGCCTTGTGTTACTGCTTTCCATAAATTTCAGGATTCATTGGAAATTCTCGTGGTGTTTTTATGAATCCCCCAAACTTCCAAATCCCTATCACAATGTGAGGAAACTAAAGATAAATGTTTGTCTTGCTGTGTCCAGTATTGTGTATCTAGTTTGACAGAGTCATCAAGCGTTTGAAAGATGATTCTGTTTTGTCTTTTCAGGGCATCATGGCAAGGAATTTTAAAGCAGTCCATTATCAGAGATTTCAGAACTTAACTTTAAAATAGGGACATAATCAAAATAAAGTCCTGTGCATTCATTCTGCCAGGGAGAGCAGGGAGTGTGCTGTCTTTCACACAGAAAAGATTAAACCCAGCATTTGACCTCAGTGAATGCAATGATCGCAATACAGTCTTCTCAACTCGCCATTTATACCTACACAATAACACTACTATGAAATGTTTTTATTTTTATCCACTTTTGCAAACAAATATGTCCAGGGCATCCTGTGTGATGTGGATGAAAATTCACAGGGAAATTGATTAGTAAATGTTAGTAATTAGTTACATTACTTTCGTTATTCAGAACAGCTTCGTCAAAGGTGTACTACAATTCTCCATCCAGTCCCTAGAATTCCAAGTCCTCCACAGCCTCAGGTCTCACGTTCTATATTTAACATATGTAGAAATAAAAGCTAGATCTTGTGGTTTAACAAGCAGTCAGCCTACAATTACCGACCATCAACAGCTAGCTTAATGAAAGCCCAAGTGTGTGCACACTACAGAAGTCCCATCATCGCAGTGAGGCTGTGGAGAACACACTCCTACTCTGAACTAAATCAGGGGATTTCAGAATGTAGACTTACCAGTACTAGTAATAGTAGCAAGCCAGTGAAGAACACACAACATGTAAATTAGACATGCCTCCCCACACCTCCAGCCCCTCTACTAAGCTTGCACATCCTGCACCAAACTGTCAAGTAAGTCAAGTAAGACCATTTGCACAGGATTAGGTGATTAACAAGATTAAGCAGGAAGAGTGTAGTCATAGAGAGCTACAAGACCAACGCTCCTCGATAGCTACACTCATCAGTTTGAACAATACACAAAATTATAGTAGGTGGCTCATAATGGACAGCACACTGGCCAGGCCAATCCAGTCATATATGAAGGCAGCCCTCATGTACAGCCTGGATAGAAACTGCACTTGTAGCTCACATTACAACTGTCCATTTAGCTCCCGCAGTCTTCCAGCTAAGTCTATGTGGTCTAAATCATCTTACCCAAAACACTTTTCTATTCTGACATTAAACTACCAGAAGTGCAAGAGGGAAAAGGACAGACATTGCAGTGCATGATATACACATGCATGCCACTAGAAAATAAACCTAGAACTACAATAATAAACATCACAATCTGCTTAGACTTTTTTCTTCTGCTTAAGTCCGCTCCCTTTCTTTATCTAAACCTCTCCCATGTTATTGCTTTGTTAACGTTTCCTCTCCTTCCCCCTTGATATGTTCCATCTTCCATCTTTCCCCGTTGGGAGATTAAGTCGTTGTTTGCTCCTTGAGGATTCCCCCTAAATACCAGCATTGCTCAGTGTTGGTGTCACGCACAGCTTCAGGTGGTGATATATTAAAATGCGGAGATAATCTGAGGGCATGCAGGGAGTTGATATTTACCATGATGCTGTAGGGGATTTTTTTTCATGTTCAGATGAAAAATTATGTGTTAAATCTATGAAAACCTTATTTTTCTGAGGGATCCTCTCAACCAGAGAAGATTTAAGCGCCATAAGGTCATTCTGGCACAGATCAAGTGCAGTGACCATGCACTGGGAAAGTAGTAAAATTACATTCCAATTCAAATGCTGTTTTATTTAGTGTAGTTTTAGTAGATTAATACATGATACTGAATAATATAATACTGTACAATTAGACCTCATGCAAAACAGACACCATGGTTACCTTTCACAACCAGGAGTGAGTACATGAGATGAATAGTATTTTTCCTATTTTTAGTATAATAGTTGTATGAGGAGAATGAAGTGCAGTAAATTAGATAACCCAATTAAGACTGAACTAAAAAATTTTAAAAATGCTAAAAGAAATCAGTTTTTTGGACACTTTCCTAATATGGGCATCAAACGTGTGTTGCGAATCCCAAATGACACCTTCATATTTAAATCTAGATTATAAGTATTCACTTTCTTCCTCAATTTCCTTTTGGTCAATATTGATTGTGAATTAAGCAGGTATCCTGCAGCCACTGGGAGATATTGACTAGTTGCCTAGTTAACAGCTCTGAAGCCTGATGAAGAGTTTCTGCTGTTACATGATGATTGGATCATCTGCTTTCAGGTAGATCATTTATATATAAGAAAAAAAAGCAAAAGGCCCCTTATTCATTTCAGCAATAAGGAAGTGCTCCGAATTTGTTGTTTTGTCTTCGTGTCTACACTGGAAGTGAGAGTGAGGGAGTTGTGTTGTGTAGGTTGACATCTGCTGCTTGTGATAGTGACTAGTTTAATAATATAACGTACAGCGCTGGAAGACTGACAGAGTTGGAAGAAAGTGAAAGGCTTTGTTCTATAGCAGTCTGACAAAGACAGACCGATATTTATGTAGCAGCAGTTCTCCTGCACAGCTCTGGGATCAACTGATCAATGATAGTCATGGTGACAGGTCAGAAGGTGTTATTATTAAATGCAGTCTAGTTTTCCATGACATGAGCTTTTCATTGTGTAACAAGCAGATTATTCCAAGTTATATTATCATCATTAAATATATATTATAAATAAAAATAATTATAATATTTATTTATAGACTACTTTTCCAAGTCTTACATTATCAGCTTTTGGGGTGCGGTTAGCAGTGGGTAGTGCACGCGCCTCGTGTACAAGGCTGAGTCCTTATCTCAGTGGTGAAGACTAAAGTAAAATCAGAACCAGTGTTGGGCAGTAACGCGTTACTAGTTACTGTAATAATATTACTTTTCCCAGTAACTAAGTAGTGTAACTAATTACTTTTCTAAAAGGGTAACATTATTACTAGTTACTAATGCAAGTAACGCTGCGTTACTCGTTACTGAACGCACCATCCTTGACGTAAATCCACGACTGTGCGGCAGCTCAGCAGGACTTTTTTGTTCATGTCCACTAATAGCCAAACACTAAAGGAAGAAAGTAGAACTAGGGGGAGAGGCGTTGTTTCCACAGCTGTAAGTAGCTGCTGCCATTATTGTGTCACAGTCTGATGCAAATAAATTGTCGTCTAGTCTAAACTCTGTGCGACCAGCAAAAACCTTTCAACCATGAACATTTCTACATCTGATTTATTGAAGCATCTGCTGAAGCAGCACAGCGACGTGAAACTTACAGAAAGAAACCCAGCAGCTGCTGTCGCTGATGCTTGGACTCATCAGGAGAGAGTGGCGTTAACGCAACGTTTTGTAACTACGGAATACTGCTCTTAGGCTACATTTGCAGTAAAACCGCTGTTTGAATGTCCGGATTTACTTGCTTTATTTTTTTATTTCAGCTAGTGGCGTTAAGAAACGTTAGGCCTAGGCTATATGCATTGTAAAAACCACACTCCTTGCTGCTGTTATGAATATGATATTAGTTAAAAAGTCGCGAGAGACTGCTTTGTTTGGGGGTGAAGGGTAGTGAAAGCAGGTCATTCTGTGGGAAAACACTGGAAAGTAACATAACGAGTAACGTAACTAGTTACTTTTATCACCCAGTAATAAGTAAAGTAATAATATTACTTTTTAAAGGAGTAATAACTAGTAATATATACAATTTCTAAGTAACTTGCCCAACACTGGTCAAACTGACAAAAGACCTCTGCCCGAGGATCTCAAAGTACATACGAGCGCGTAAGGTAAGATGTCAGATATAGAGTGAGGCTATGAAGAGCCTTAAGATCACCAGTAAAATCTTAAAATCTATTCTAAAACATACTGGGGGCCAGTGTAAAGAAGCTAGAACAGGAGTGATAGGTTCATGTTTCTTGGTTCTGGCTAAAGACCTGGCGTCTGAGTTCTGTACAGTCTGGAGTCGATAAACAAGTAACTAAGTTGTGTAATATTGTTTCTCAGAACTGACCAGACACCAAGATTCTTTTCAACAGACTATATGTGATCCAATAGGGATTGTTACGTCCTAAGGTCAAGGGGTTTCCTGGACGCAACATAAAAGGTGTGGCTGCCCACTCTTCCCATTCCCAAGCAAGGCCAGAACACAAGAGATACAGTTTAGCAGTTTATTCATCATCAGAGATGAGCAGTGCCCAAAACACTCTAAGAAACCTAAAACCTTCCTAAACCAAAAACAAAAAGTAAAGACAAAGTTCTAAACTAGGCTTCTAATTCCAAAAACAGGAGAAAAAACTGCTAGTAACTGACACAACTAAGCTACAACAAAGAACATCTGTACATAAACAAAATGGCTTAAGCCATCAAAAAAAAGACAATAACCGGAGTTAGAAAGTTAAGCTATTCAAAGTCTAATGTGTTCACTACACAGGTTCACTCACAAAGTCTAGTATGCTCACAACAGTTCTCTACTCACAATGAAAACAAAGAGTACACAGGCTCAGGTTGGGAACGGCAGAGAGAGAGAAGTTCCTGTCAGATGGGGCTTAAAATGGCTGCTGTCATCCAGGTGACCAATCAGGAGGCTCCAATCAGCTCTGCAGGACCAATCCTGTGTGCACACCTGTTTTCCATTATCTGCATACACTCACTCACACTCTAAGGGAGGAGACAGCTGCAGGGTGAGAGATAAACACAGACAAAATATGACCCCATGGTCATAACAGGAACTACCGTCACCAAATACGTGCACCTAAGGCTTACACAAACCTCGGGAAAACACTGAAATGAAATGCTCATGGACACAACAGCACTCCTGCTGGAAGAAATTAAGAGACAATGTTTTGGGGTTTTATAGTCAGATATAGAGCAGGGCTGACACTCTGTAATCATCTCATTTATGCAGGTTCTTTTTGACCTGTAGAAAACTGTGTCTGACAACAGATAAAATAAAACCTGACCTGGACCTTCCCTTAAACCAGTCCTTTTTTGTGGTGTCTCTCTCCAGTTACACTTTTATAACCCCTCACACATTTAACAGTTAAACAGTTTTGGGACATTGCAATACTTTGCTCACCAGTCTTGCTAGCGGTACCTCTGGGGCTATCTAGGGGGGGAGGGGGAGGCAGACATCACCAGGCTCACACCATGTCACCACTTCAGGAGAGTTAGTTTTTAGGTTAGTTGTGCTTCTTGTACCCTCCTCAGTTCTCATTGAAATCTATATTAAATCCCTCAGGTAGGCCATTTGTCCTCTGATTCTCATCTTGCGGACGCACAGTATCTTGTATTTGGATGTATATGCCTTGGTGTCCTTCTTGTAGTACAGTACAGAGGACTTACAAGCTCAGCACTGACTGCTCGAGGACCAGATGACTCTAGTGGATTTGTGATCTGGGCTAGATGCTTTGTCAAGAGTCTGTAGGCAACCTTGCGTTTCACAATTACAGCATAGAAAGTCCAGTGGCTGTGACAACAGCATTATGCAGTGAAGTAACATGATGGTTGTAATTATTTGGGAGAGCATCATAGTGAACCTAAAGGTGGTGAAGATAATATAATATGAATGCTGTGTTTTTGACATATGATTGGTTTGGGTGTGGGTGGTCATGAGAAGAAGGAAACCAACAGATAGCTTTGGGGGTTACCCAACAGAACATAGGATATTACACTAATTTGATAGAAGGTGTAAGCATTGAATGAACTAGAAAGGGAATAATTCTGAATTAATTGTCTGAATAACACTCAGACAACTGGCTAAATAATAAAAAGACATATTATTGTACTACAGAGTTAGATACGTCTACACATGTGGTCACTATGAATCATTGCCTTGTTAGTGTGTTACGCCTGGCTTGGAATATCCAGAATTCAACTTAGTAAGAGACATTAGCTTTTAATTAAGGGGTGAGAAAACTCTAACTCACCTACTGATTATCCTTCCACAGCAACCTCCAACACCACTAATCAAAAAGGTACTTAAAATGCCCACTAGTGTGAATTCTTCAGCGGATCAATGGGTGTACATTTTTGATTTTATACTGAAAGTAGTCATATTTTCTTAAAGGCTCCTTTTCAGAAAGAGGTTAAAGGAAAATAGGTTTACATTATTTGTAATCTGTGAGGGACTGGAACTGCCCCTCCAGCTGACATGACATGACAATGTGTAATGTGAAAGGTGTGTATGTTATTGACTTTTCACCCGTGCAGTTTGCATCAGATCTGTAGAGAGTTTTAGCATTCTTCAGCTAATTGATTTGGTTTTATGGCCTGCAACTTGAATGATTTTGTTCAGACTCACCGCTCTCATTAACCTCACTTCCAACAACAACAGAAAGCTGTTCTCAACTTAAACCTACTGTACACTACCTGCCCAGCACCAAACAGCAGGAAAACACATTTAGCAACTAGCTGGTGAACATAATGTTAAGACATGGTGGAATAAAAAATACTTAATGCTGCTTAAATGTTGTGCTTTTTCTTGTTGTGGTGTATAACATATGTGCATTTGACCATTACAGTTTAACATAATGCTCTGTAGCTGGGGACAGTGAACCCTTATGGGGAAGTAATGATTGATGGGTGTACAAAGAGTGAACTCTCCTATAGAACTTGACCACTGACTCAGAGCTGGAGAGAGGCACAGTGAACCCTTAAGGGGAAGTAATGATTGATGGGTGTGCAAAGAGTGAACCCTACTATGAAATTTGACCTCTGACCCAGTGGTAGGGGGAGTAGAGGTTAGTGTGTATGAAGGGACTGTGCCCTTATATGGTTTTTAGCAGAGACCTAAACATGTCCTATATAAGCTGTGTTCGATGTACAGAGAGACAGAGTGGTTATCGGGCTGGGTCACTCTCCAAGCTGCTGCAGAGCTTGTAATTGATGCTGAATTCTTTGATGTAATAAACTTTTACGATCAAGAACAGTGTCAAGCGGATTTCTTCTCAACACATCATCGCAGCATTATCGTTCGGACACCACATTGTAAACACTAAAAATTGCAATAGTTTTCTGTCCGGCATACAACATTTAGGGGTGGGGGTTTAAACTGTTCGGTCCAACTCTAAATGTGCAGGTGTATTTAGATTTTTTAGGTGGAGCACTGTCCTGTCCTGACGTTTGCTCAACAGGTAACGTTAGTTAGTTAGCTGCTGGCCCCTCTGCCTGTGCAGAGAGCAGCTGGGCACACGGCCCTTGGATCTGCTTGTAGGTTGCCAGGTTGTGGTGATAGATGGGTTGAAAATTGTATTTAATGTGTGGATTGTGTTTCATAGATGATCTGGCAACTTGGGTGACATCAGATATCCATCCATGACTTGGATCCATGTATTACATTATGACAGTTATTCATAATAAAGTTTGAGGGCCATAGTAATAATTACGGGAGTTTCCTGGGGAAAACGGGAGGGCTCTGGGAAAAGCAAGAGAAATCCCAGAGTTGTCAGGTATGGTCTGGTGTTCTTGATGTCTTTTATTGGATAAAGGCATCTGCTTTCGAATGATCGTTCTTTGTTAAAGCAAATAGTGAATTATGTTGCTGATGCACTGTACCTGTTTTCCTGTCTCTGTCTCTCTCTCTCTCGATCTAAATCAATCTTTCTACCAGTCATGACTTTATCGGAGAGTTCACCACCAGCTACAGAGAGCTTTCCAGAGGCCAAAGCCAGTTTAATGTCTATGAGGTAAAATACAAGAAAAGCAAAGTATAGCCTTGGATGTGTAAAGGATATAAAATTTTTACCACGTTGTGGGAATGTGCAACTACATCAAGTGAGTGTTATATGTCATTCATTTAATAGGAGTTCAGATATGCAATGTATGACTACAGACACATTTGTTCAAAAACTAATTTCTTGTTTCCTGTCTTGTGTGTCAAGGTTTTGAATCCTAAAAAGAAAGGCAAGAAGAAGAAATACATCAATTCAGGGACGGTAAGACCTGTCGGAGTGTGTTTCATCAGCAGCTGTCACATGTTTCATGGACATGAGTCATAGCAGCAATCAGAGCCATAAACAGATGGTGTCTGCAATGAAACCTCCTTGTGATCTTTTTCTGTCCTCTGCTCTCTTCTCCCTCCCCGTCTTCAAGGTGACCCTGCTGTCTTTCAAAGTGGAGTCAGAATGCACATTTGTCGACTTCATCAGAGGAGGGTGAGAGCGCAATCTGTAATGTGTTATCAGTGTCTATGGGAAGCCATTAAAGAGCAACAATGCAGCCAAATTCTGGTAGCTCCCTCCCTCGCAGCATATTTAGAAGAAGCAGTAGAGGACTGCACAGGACATCCACTGTAGGGGCATGGCCTAAGTGGTGTGTGACAAAGGAGGTAATGAAACACCGACCAGTAAGGATACACTGATCAGACTGGCTGACAGCGTGACTGATTCAGCGTAGCAGGGACAGCGAGCTGGAAGCTGGGAGTCAGAGTTAACCAGCCATGAGCAGCTGCTGTCAGACTCTCCGTGTCCGGTCTGGAGTCTGCTGGGGCTTTGACTGTCACTAGAAGCACATTCATGGCCCTTTGTTAAAGTTTCTGTGTCGTACCTGTTTTGTGCTAGCGGCTCAGAGAGGTTATCTGGTGTGTGTCTGTAGGGGAGTATAAGTACCACTGGCACCTAATTTCTAGGTCTGCTGGAAAGCTGAGCAGTCCTGATGATTTTGCAGCCATGAAAGCAACTTTCTGGCCAGTAAATGGTAAATGGATTGTAGGGCTGTCCCCACCTAAGGATTTAAATAGTCAAATCAGAATCGTCCAGTCCTGCGTACAGTCGACTGTCGAATAGTGTGTTTTTGTGCGCGGTGATTGCGAGCCGGGGGGGGGGGGGCTGCTCTCTCTCTTGCCTGCCATTCACAGGTCTTGGGCAGAGTTTTGCGTGCGTGCTGTGTTGCTGGCAGCTGCATGCACATTGCGGTTCCTCGCGGGTCTGTTTCAAGTAGTCAAGTAGCCGGCTATTGAAAACGATATAATATTCTTTGTGTGGTGATGAATTTACCGAAAGTCTTGCGAGGTGCGAACAACTCGGCACAACACCAGTGAAGCCGGGGCTCCGTCTCTTCAGCAAGTGTTCCTCTTCTGCCACCACACACACACCCGCTTCGCCAACACATGCTCACTGACGACCCAGGGTTAGGGTTACAATTTTGGATTTATTTACGCACATTAAAATGTATTGAAAGTTTCATTCTTTTCATATGTTTATTTACAGCATTAAACGTTGAAATGTATATTGTAATAGGCTGTATATTAACTCATTGGGTGAAAACTGGTAGTTCATTGTTGAGCACCCCCATATCGCCAAAATGACATGATCCTTGTTTTGCTGCGAAGCTTCGACTGTGAGATTGACAGTCGAATCAGGCTCCGCCCATCGAAGCATCGAATCTTTAACTATTCGTAGTCAGCCCTAATGGATTGTACTTGCATAGCGTCTTTATAGTTACGACCAATCACTGCGCTTTACGCCATGTCACATCGGTGCCTATTAGACATTTGGACATGTCAAAAAGTTTGGTTGGCCGTTGTCAGGCCCTCGCACCGTTGAGCCATGAGTTGATTCCCCATGATCAGTGCCTTCTTTCTTACGTATAAGATATCTCCTCTAGTACTCTCTTAAGAACAGACAACCCATGTTGACCAATCTTCCCAACCAGTTTCTCATCCAGACTTATGCCTTTTTAAATCTTGCACTGTGTACTTTTGAGATTGGAGAGAAGTTTGTCCTTATGTGTGTGATACAATCCGATTTCAAATTTGGTTAGAATTTTAAAACTCCTGTAGTCTGAGCCCAGCTTTAAGTTGCCCTTTTGTCTCTGCCAATTGATCCTACAGTCAAATTTTATACTGTACTGAAATTAACTGAACTCAGTGACAGCCTGCAAGACAGAAAAAAAAATTCACAAATATAATATATGCTTGCCATTGTTTTTCCAAAACATGCACAGAATATAGTAGTAGCCTATAGTAGATTTGTAGTAATATTATATGAATACAACTCTTGGAAAAACACATCTTCTTTAGGTTGAAAATAGTCAAATGTTGAATATCAGCACAAAACAGCACTTAAATTTTAAGACTTGAGGAGCCCGTATAATTTGAATCATGGTGCAGATCCCCTGCTATGTGCTTTATAAGCGACAGAGGCGAGCCGTTGATGAGTTTCTCAGTCTAGCCTAAACAGCTTCTGGCACATTCCTAATATCTCTGTTTTGAATGATGCTGATGTGCAATCAATCTCTCACCAGGACACAACTCAATTTCACCGTGGCCATAGACTTCACAGCATCCAACGGTAGGACATCCTTACATCTTTATGCATGCAGGAAATGTCCACTCTGTTGTTCAGTGAAAATGTTTTACCGCCAACTTATGCGTATTGTCAGTTATTACTTTAATTAAGGATTGTGTTCGCCTCTCTGGGTTGATCTTGATCTTAACTTGGGTAGGTGGTCTTTGTTATATTTCTAACTAAATGATAGTCAACTAATGATTGTCACTGTATGACAATCTTACTGAGTGTTGAGTGCCATTTAAAAAAATCAATACATGGTTGACAATTATTTGTGATATTGTACCTTGCTGTAATGTAACACAAATAAGATAATCTATCCATGTATCACATCAGTGATAAAAACGGTTAATTTAATAGAGACAGTGCATAATACATTTATTTCAGCAGCTAAAAGCTAATTTCACCTGTTTACTAGGCATTATTACAACAACCAAAATAAAAATAGACAACATTGGTTCCCAACTAGCAGAATAAGAATTTCTTAAACATAAGCATGAGCAGTATAGATTAACTCAGTGACTACAAGTCTGATTTATAATTACATGAGGAAAATATTTAAGATGGGAGGGGAAAAAATTACCTGTTTTTGCATTTTCTCACAAAAGTTGAAACACATAGATCATCGTAGGCCATCCGAGAAAAAGCACTGGGTCAATGGAGGGATGGAGGAATGGGACAAACAGACACAGGACTTTAACCTAGTAGATGTTGTTGTTTGAGTCCTGTGTGAAACTTTCTTATAAATAACATATGTAAGTGAACTTAACATACTCAAGTCACGTCAGGTCTTCCCTAAACCTAAACAGTCTTTTCCTAAACCTAACAAAGTCGTTTTTGTGCCTTAACCTAATGAAGTGGTTTCACCAAATTATTCAAGTTTTATTTTGAACTAGACTAACTGGATGTAGCATATTTATTATTGCAGAGCCCTGTGGGTCCACAAACTACATTAGAGGGGTCCCTACAGCATCATATTTTGAAGCAGAGGGCCACTCACCCAGCAGCAGTATTTGACAATTTGTTAGTGCCAACGTGTAACTGTATTTTGGCTTTTAATCTTCATACCCAGTAACTAAAAGCACTGATTACTAATTCTAAAATGTGCTTGATTTTAAGTAGAGGCCACACATAATGGACTGACAATATACTACACATCAGCTCGCAGTGTGAGGATCAAGTACAGGTCACTAGGTGTATTTTGATGCAGATGTATGTAGTTTTTGTTTGTCATGTTGTCATGTTTGTCATTTTTAGATTTCTGGGTAGTTAACCATTTAGGAAGACTCATTCTTTTTTCAGAAAATATATATGTCATATATTTTGTCGCTGCCTGTGTGTGTCTTGGCATGCAAATGCTTTTGGGTAAACCACACTGTATCCAGGAATGAACTTATGGAAAAGTGGTTTAGAAAGTAAGTATATAGCCTAAGCTCCAAAAATGCCCAAACTCACACTATATATAGGTTTTATTCATGTGCCATACATTGTGTGTGTGTGTGTCTGTCTGTGTATTGGGTGTGGTGGTGTTTCTCTTTCCAGGTAACCCGTCTCAGCCTACCTCACTGCACTACATGAGTCCATACCAGATGAATGCGTACGCCATGGCACTGAAGGCTGTGGGGGAGATTATCCAGGACTACGACAGCGACAAACTCTTCCCAGCATATGGCTTTGGAGCTAAGCTTCCCCCGGATGGCAAGATCTCCCACGCCTTCCCACTGGTAAGAGACACTGTTCTAAAAACACTGGGACAGACGGTTTGCTAAAACAGATAAACAAGTTTGCCACTTGACCTTACTTTTTAAAAAAGTATTTATTTAAGGCTGACTTGTGTCCGCTCTGACTAAATCACTGCCAGGATGTGAAATGTGTCCATCTGTCAGATGTAAGGTCTCGCTGGCTGCTGATGTAGAGTCCACCTCCATTTTGGACTTTCCTTAAGGCTCACTTTGGCTAAATAAAAATGCAGTCAAATATTATGTCAAGGCCAAAAGCTTCAAGCAAAAAAGTGTTTCCTGTGTCTAACAGCAACATTAGCATGAGAGACCCTTTAATGTTGACTTTAGGGAAACAATTTGTTGTTAGTAATACTTGCTGGACTTGAGTACTTTCCACTTAAGCTGCTCTAAAGAAAATATTTATAAAAATTAATTAATTTTACCTCTCTATTCTACCACTGCCTCGATTGGTTAGTTGTGTTATTATGTGACTTTGGTGTTTTTAACCCTTTAAACCACCAGAGTCACACAATAACAATCAAACTAATCAGCCGAGGCAGCGGGACACCAGCAACTCCCGTTAAAGGTGAAATTACTGTTGTTGTTAATGGAGTCGGGTGGCTTTGACAAGAGCGATAAGTGACTGTTTTTGGTTTTTAAAAAAGGCTCTCACACTTTAACAAAGGTCTATCTCTGTAGGCATCCTTTCTGTAATGTTGTCAGACAATAATAACAATCTGATCCTGTCTGTGGCACAAACAAGCACTTTAGTGGACTGCAAGGATTCTCATTTCAACAATGTTTTCATTGGAATTTCTTTCACCTTTAACCCTTTATTTTTTCTTTAGTACAAGCATTACATCCAAGAACTTGTAACATGTGATTGTTTTATAAGTTCAGATAAAGGTCCGCTTTGGCGTTACGACCACTGATAACGCTATGGCGCAATGTTTTTGTGCGTGTGTACCTGTATTGCATGCACACAAGGACGCAATGTACTGAACAACATGCAACGATTCAACTCAAGACAACTTGTTAAGTCAATGAAAGGAAAGGTTACATAAGCCCACAAGCTGTAGGCATTGTGAGTAGTCTTGTGAAGTGGAAGACTGAGGCAGAGGAAAGGAACAAAAGGTGGGAGGAAGAAACACTGTGAATCACGCTGCGTGTTGAGAGAAAATAATGCTGCATTCACATGCTCCTCAGATGGTCCCATATTCTGAGTTGGGAAGTCGTTCTTCCGACTTTGGGGTGTTCATGAGCTTAATGTGGGAACAACATAGGTATATTGTTGTATAACCTCTGGGTAGTGGGTTGTTATGTATGTGAAGTATGCTGAAATAGTTTGAACATTAATGAGTTTCAGATTTGTTGCTGCACCAGTACATTCCCTAAAACTACTAACATATTGCTTTACCTGACTTGTTATCAGGGTTAATGCTAATAACTCATTCTACATGAACAACGGTTACGACCTAATGCCATACTACAAATTACATGTGAGCAAAATATTGATATGCAATACAGTACATAAATTAATAAAAAGCATTTACCTTTGTCTGCCATGTTTTTGCGTTATATGACGTCAACTCAGCAAGTCAAGGTTTCAAAGACAATTCGAGTTGTTCCATCTTCAGAAGGAGTTCAAGTGCATTTTCCCTGTTGGGAACAAATTTTTCTGATTATTCCGACACCAGATGAACGCAGGGTAAGACAGAGAGACAGCAACACAGAGAGACACCTTGATGATGCAATGCTTAGCTTAGCATTATCAGCATCACTAAAAAGTAGCAAAGCAGCAGAATGGAAAAATAATGACTATCCTTGGATTCCAAACGGCTGTCTCCCTGGACAGTTACTTAGAGGAAATGAGGACAAAAGTGGGTGGGAGAAGAACATTAAAAAGGAGAGTCTTATATTTGGTGTTGTTCCAAGGCTCAAGGATAAGATTAGTGGGAGTTTTTTAAAGAAGATATGCGATAATGTGTCTAGATTTTTTCGTATAGGTGTAAACATCTTAATGACACGCCTCAGGTCTTTCATTAGTTGACTGGAGAATTTTCTTTCTGTGACCTGAAACTGTCGTTTTCGATTAGATTTGTCAAATCCCATGATCTTCTTGACTCCCTCCCAGTCAGAAGCCGACAGTGGACGAGAGTATCAGCACCTGGCTTGTCTAGATTCATCACTTAAATTGTATAACTTTGCTCCTTTCCATGGGTGGCCGCTCGATCAGCTTTCCCAATTAGAGTTCACCTCACCGTGACAAATGCTGGCGTCGCCTCATGCTAAAGCAACTCTAATTAGGAATCTGATCTTTGGAAACTACATGAAGCACATCAAGCAATGTAGAGTTAATCAAACGGAATGTTTTATTATCTTTCCTATCTCATAATATATGTGCTCATGTAGGACAGATCAAAAGTACAGTGAGATATCCTGCACAGAAATAAAATATGTTTATAAAATGAAAAGGGGAAGCTGGCATTGTGCAAAAAGCCTCTTTAATTAGACACATCCCTGGTTCAGATAAAGGTCAGAATAGTTAATTAACCAGCAGTAATTGCATATATAAACTCATAACAAACAACATATGACCATATCTAATGAAAAAGTTAATAATAATAATATAGTTAATTAAATAGCTCACATTTGCAAAAAAATAAGAGTCAGTGTACCTTGAAGCATTCTGTCCTTTACAAGGACATTAGGAAAAATATTTGTCTTTCATGAGTTATTTGACACTATTTCACTTCTACTGCACAGCTCCTCTGTGTAAGTGCTAAATTAACACTGGCCTCCGAATAGTTTTTTGATGCTTTAAAGAAATCCATATTATTAAATGGAAACTTCAGTCTCAGAGGAAATAATTAAAAAGTAGTCTTGGAGAGAGATGGCAGAATGCCTCAGAGCGTGCGAGTAAACCTGCCTTCGAAAAAGAGAAGACTATTAGCCACTAACGGCAACTGCATCAGGTCACTGCAAAAGAAACAAGGACATATGCTATTTGGATAATGTCATCATTAGTGATCTGCAAATGCTGAATGTGGTCTGGTGATAGATTTCATCATATCATTCATATTCAGCACAGAAATGTTTCTCTAGAATCTGAATATTAGCAATAATTCACTAAGAAAAGGCAGCCTTTCCCATAACAGATCCACCAGGGACCTTCACTGTGGTAAACAAACACTAAACTGTCACTGTAAGTTTTGAGTCTGACGACCAAAAATGCAACATGCAGAATATTATTGCAATAAAATTCACAATGCATAGCAGAAATGGAGGAGCTACTCACAGCTCGCACGTGTTGAAAAGCAGGAATGGTGCATAATTGCGCATAACATGCATCATTTCGTGTTTGTAAAACATTTTAAAATATACTGCCAAAATAGTACACAGACAACACTGGTACATACATGTAGATTATACTATATAGAATTGGAACACATTAGGCCTCATCCAAGAACCACTCATATGAACAGATTTGTTTGTAAGTGTCACTTAGGGAGTTTAAAGAATGTGTTGCTTTCACCAGTGTTATAGTATTTAGAATACTTACTTTGGCATGAACAACATTTACGAGTCGCCCAGAGCTGTTGTACGGGTCATGAACAGACAGTCTGCGTTTCTCCACAGGAAAAAAACATTTGTTTGGCTTAAAGTCCAGCGTGTACATTAGTGGCATCTAGCGGCTCAGTCCACCACTCACCCCTCCGACACAGGACAAAAGATGTCATATGAGACAGGAGAGAGTAGCGAGTCAAGCAATGAGGTTTCTTTAGATAGATATATTAGGAAATAATATTTGAAATTATTTGCCAGAGCTGTGACTTGAGAAGGTTTCCTCTTCATGGTTTCGATGTTGCAGGACCTCTTTCACAGTGGGAAAAACAACAGCAACATCAAGAAATGAAGTGCTACATGACATACTACTGTACTACATTATTTTACGGTACTGTAATCATTCATTTTGTTACATCTTGGGAGGGTTGGCTCATCTGGGCTAACATACCAAATTAAATGAAGAACATCTCAAAAGCTATTTCATCTACTGCAAGTATGATGTTGGCCACTGACAGATAACACGGAAAATATAAGCCAAGAGTGTGTGACATTGTCACTGTTTCTGCACCACAGACCATTAGAAACCACATAATAGATGAAGTTTAAAAAAGGCAGAGTCAGATGAGGATTAAGCATCCTCCCTTGTTCAATTAGAAAAGCAATCTGTTCAAATCTTACCAAATTGGCTTTTTAATTTTTTTTTAATGTAATAGAAACACAAAGTAGCACTTATTGCCATAATTTGAGCTTGTGTTTAAAGGATGCAACGTTTACAATGGGCATTTACCCTGTGAATTATCGAATTACACCTTTGTGTGCACAGCAAAGCAATACAAACAAATAAGTTACACTTTATTTATGCAAGTTATGAATGTAAGCATTATCAGTCACTTGTCATCGGAACAATGTTAGCAGTAAAAATAAACCAGGGTTTTCCAACCGGGCAGTAAAATGTGATGTTTAGCTGGCTGATCTGAACTTCCATGCTGTACAGTTTTATTGCCAATAATATTCATATTAATATAACATAACCGACACATTTCTGCCAAAACACAGCGTTGCAGAATAACGCTACGTAATATTACAATCTAATCACATATTTTTCAACATTGACGGGGGAAAAACGTGATTATGCCCAGCTTCAGCTTTTTTACAGTTTTCATTTGCATTGCTAAAGTTGGACTAACTTACCGACCCAGCAGAAAACAGGCAACTGCTGCGTCACTTTGAAAACATGTGTCAGCCACACCAGTGTTTATCCATGATTTCTGCCATCATCTGTCCCGACTTCGCCTGGCTTCATCATCTTTTCACTTCTTTGACAACAAAGTTTATCGCTATGTAGGCTCTTCTGCTAAATAATACGTGTGGTCCTGCATTTGTCCAAATTTCACTTCTCTTCTTACTTCTAATAAACCAGACAACTACTACTACTTCTTTGTACGTATTCATCGTAGTGTAGAAACGTGCTCTGTACAGCAGTTTTTCTGTTTGGGCTATAAACATGGCAGTGCATTATGTAAGGTCTTTATACCCCACTGAAAACATAGTTATGGATATAATATTGCATTTCTGTCAATAGATTCTCCTAAATAATACACACCGGACCTTTAAGTATTACAGTATAATGCCTTAATGCGAATGAATTTGGAGTTTATCACCTTTTAAGTTGAAATGGTGAATGTGCTAGCAAACTTAGTTACACATCCAGCAAAAAAAGAGCAATATGAATGCTCATTCATTTAGAGTCATGTTTCTGTCCACGTGGACAGGCATTTGCAAATTAGTCGGGAACCTCTGGGTTCATTTTCAATTTCAAAAATATCTCTGGATGTAATTGGGTAGACCTACAACCAATGAGGACAAAGAAACAACTGATTTAGCAACAAAAGCAGTAATTTTCCCTCTCTGGTCTACCGCTGCCTCGATCAGTTAGTTTGTTATTGTGTGATTTTGGTGTTTCAAAGCGGTAAAAACACTCAAGTCACACAATAACACAAACTAACCGGTTGCGGCAGCTGTAGACGAGAGGGACAGTTTGTCAAGGGAGCCTGGTGGCTTGGAACAGAATGCTATAGCAACTGTTTCTGGTTAAACAAAAAGGACCTTACTATCCTTTCCATAACTTAAAGACACTTGTAATGACAATCTGAGTCTGTCAGTGAAAAGAACAAGCACTTTATTTATGTTGCGGCCCTGTCTCACTGCATGCGTGCTCAGTTTCAAGAAATGGTGTCTCCGTTAGTCACATAGACACAAAAATAAGAGAATATAGTGTCCAGGTTGAGAAATACCGAAGTTACATCCTACCAAATAATCAGCAACAATTAGTCATCCCTTATTAGTATCCAGAAGAAACGCTGAGAGACTGGAGGGAAATAACGAGTTTCTAAAGTGAACACATCCATACAGGCACACTCCCACAGACAGCATATACTGTATCTGTAGAGTCATAAATTGGTGAACAAATACAAATACCAGCAGTCAAATTCACCAAGATGATGCAAAGCTAAAGTTTGCTTTCTGGCTGTTCACACCTTCAAGAGAATGAAACTTCTGCAAACTAATAAGCAACCTGGTCCATTATTTTTATTGAACCCATTTGAATGATTTAGTGTTATTTGCCTAAAGGACCTTGTAAGAGGTAATAGTGCACTTTTGATAATAAAAGATAATAATACAAAAAAGAAAGAGAACATTAATCTGATGAAGGAGATTTCTTCATTCTTCAGAAAGACAAACTTAACTGTGTGTCTGAATAAACCGCAGCTCAAAGTAGTGATCAGGGACAGATAATAGATCTTGGCTGGGGTAAAAATTTATTGTGGGGATGAATGGATGCATGTGTGGTGCACTGATGAACTTTTACAATAGTGATGCAGATTTCAGAGGAGTGAAAAAGAATCTGGAGACACTGGAGATTTGTTAGAAAGAAGAGGGTTAAGATGTCAATTATTGTTTTTAACCAGATAAATCTTCTGCAATTTATCTACTCTTGAACTGAAGAATGAAATTTAAAAGCTTCTCACAGATTCAGGCCACGCCTATTGATTACTTAAATAGTCCTGAGAGGCCTAGGCCCAAGGTATTTAGCAGACCTTTCAGTGCCCTATTCCCCTTCCTGCTCCCTGAGATCATTGGATGCAAACATTCCTGGTTGTTCCAAGATCCACATTTATACGCAAAGGTGATAGAGCCTTTGCATTTAGAGATGTGGAATGACCTTGCTGAGGTGATCAGGGCTGCAAACTCTTTCAAATCTCTGAAAAACCCACTTTTTAATCTTTTCATAGATTTCGTTTATGTTTTATGTGTTTTAGTACGCAGGGGAGAGGTTTGCCCGCTGAGCTTTCTGCCAGAAACCCTTTTTGCAGGGGAGCCCTGGGGGCGAAGCTCTCCCATGGGCCATTTTAGTTAATTTTACTCTCTTTATGTTTTCTAATTTGTTGTTTTGTTCTCTTTTTGTTTTAAATATACTACTTTTTATTGTAAAGCACTAGTGGGAATTTAAATCACGTGTGCTTTAGGGACATACAGTATGTGAAAATCTTCACACATGATATATGAGTTTTACAGCTTTGGTGCATTTCTCAAATCATCCTTAACATTTGCAAAACAGTAAGTGCATTTCTCAAAACAGGTAGTACAAACGGCACACAAAGTGGATTACCTGCAAAAGCCCATAACTTGCTCAAAATCCTTAGTCTCTCTCTCAAAAGCAAATCTTTATGTCATTGAACTTGTCAGTGCCATCAGAACAACAAGTCCTTGTGTCTTGTTTATGAACAAGCAAGTCAAAATGTTTAGCCATCTGGTCAATATAACAGTGTGCTCTGTAAGTATTTTCTGATGTACACTTTGGCTAAGATTTTGATGACAATGATTGAAAATGCACAAGGCTGCACTTTTTTTGTCTGGCATATATCACTTTCACCAGTACAAAGTTATACATTGCAGGAGAGAGGACAGGAATCACAGCTATGCTTTTATTTTATTTATTTATTTATTTATTATTTTATTTTGCATGTAGTGACAAATGCAATGAACTTATGCCTAGATGTTTTGGGGGGTAAGATTATTCAACAGAGACTGGTATAATTCATTGTGATCAGCAGGACATAAGCAATTGATAATGTAGGAAACAGCAGACAATTGGACATAATCATTTGTATCAGCGTGTCAAGTCATTTGCAATTTGTTCAAAACACTGAGAAAGTGCTTTTATGATGTGCACAAATGAAGAGATGATGTGGAGGTTGAACAATTAGTTTTGAGAATTTCAATTCTGATCTGAGAAATGCACCAAAGCGACTGAGAAAAGCTGTAAACCATGCTAGGAACATGGTCTTGTCGATATTGCTCTGTCTCTCTACAGGTCACATCATTAGGTACACTTCTATGGCTGGCCATTAATGCAAATCATCAAAGGATTCTACTGGCCTGCACAAGTAATGTTTAGTGTACCGTAATTAGCTACTCATTGTATGTGTACACACTGGCCAGTCAACAGTTTGCTTTGGAGTGCTGTGTTGAATGTGTGGGTGCAGGTTCAGTGCCAACTCAACCAACACCAGTTATTGCGAGGGTCCACACCTGATGACCATGTAGACTGACTGCACTCTTGTACTCCAAGATTAAGAGACACAATTCATGTGTTGGAAGTTTCTGATACTGGAGGGTTTGTTGATAAGTGTCTATTTGTTAGACTTAAACAGATACAATGTAGATATAAGGCCAGGTCATGCTGCTGAGTATCCACTCTGTGCTTCGGTGAGTGTAGGATTCAAGGACAGTTTAAATGTATGTGAGTCAGGGTTAGAGAATGTTGTACTAACTCAACTTGATATTGCTTTCTTTCCAATAAATTCAGACTTTGAGTTTTTTTCTCTCTCTTGCAGAACTCAAATACAGAAAACCCAAACTGTGTGGGCATCGATGGTGTACTGGAGGCTTACTTCCAGAGCTTGCGGACTGTTCAGCTGTATGGCCCAACCAACTTTGCTCCTGTTATCAACCAGGTGGCTCGGTGAGAGATTCACAAACATATGTGCACACATATGGAAGGAAACACACATATCTACTTGTGCAAGAATATATATGTCACATAATAATGCCCACAATACATGCACTCATATACACACACACACACACACACACACACACACACTCATAATGTCTCATGAATAAAATCTGCAAGAGTTTCATTTGCATGTGTCACTTATCCTGTGCCATCATGGGAACACAGCTGTTTATGTAAGCATGTCATAAATATATGAGAGGTGACTTTATGGCAGAAAGCAGGAGACATGGTAAGCATTATCATACTGTAGAAACTGTCAATCATTTCTGTCTGAAGAGAAATCAGTGGATCCAGTGGAGTTTTTTTTTTACAAACTAACTAAAATTAGTTTTACATTGAGTTTTTCGCACCAAAATGCATTGGGTGTATCCTTGAAGTCATCAAGTGCATTCCCTTCATCAAACATTTGCAAAGTCTTCTTCTCTGCCTTCGCAGGCACATTGCAGCATATCTTTGTGTGTTGCCACTACCTGCAGACCACTGGTAGGACTGTATATCGCAACACCCATGAGCATGCACATGGGATATACAAAACTGGCACCCACTCAGAAAATCCACTCCATAGCATTACTAGAGGTCTAAAAAACTACAGGAAACCTTTAATGTAATGAGAGTGGGGCTGGAATAAAATGTCTCACTTCAACGCTTTACTCAGTCACGCACGGTGTAAAAATTTAATCAGTTGCAGTTTTTAACAAGGTGTTTGTACTAACTAGGGGTGATTAGCAAAAGGGTTAATGCAGACAATATGCTTGTTGGTGTTCATCAAGTGAAACTGATTATATATCAGGGTAAGCCAATTGTGATGTGCCATCTTTTAGTCATTGGTTCTTACATGTCGCTGTCCGCCTGACACAGAAAACTGGTTTGTGGGCCCAAACGCAGACACAAAAGCGCACCAGGTAAAATTTAAATGAGATTTGTTTACCCAAAACTGAAGAACTTACAAAATGATGGGAGATGGGCAGTCCAAGCAGAGCAGTTCTCCGCACAAAAGCGACTAGAAACAGGTATTCATCTGTACATCCCAATGACAGAGTAAATCCAAAATGACAAGAAATCAGGTAGAGGTAAAACCCAGAGGCATAAACCACTGCTGCAAACAGCCATGAACAGTGGAAAACAATGAACCTGCAGTGAGTGGAAGGAATGGGCCAACTAAATACAACAGCAGCGGTGTACACAATGATGCACAGGTGAAATTACTCAGACAATCAAAGACAAAGAACACAAGAAGCAAAACCACACAATGACACTAGAGAACAGACAACCTTCGAAATAAAACAGAAAACATGAAGAACAAAACACCTACACCTCAGACGGGAAATGCAGCCAATGCAGCTTGACTCCTGTGATGCAGATGTGCAAAAATGTAAACAAATAGGCTACATAGACATTCAATAAAGCTTATTGTTAATAACATTTCATCAGATTTTAATATCTTTTTTATTTTATTTAACCTCAGTTTAACCCAAGTCCCTTGAGATATGTTATGCAGTGCAGGATAAAGACTGACTGGTGTTTCACAGGTGTGCGACTTGACTGTGGACTGAGGAGCTGAAGTAAGGGAGCATCTCACAAGTGCATGCAAAATGGCCAGAAGAGCTCTTAAGATTTTTGTTTTTCATAGACAAATCTGGGCCGTCTTCCATTGCGTGCAAAACCTCTTAATTAAATTAAATGTAGCCCACTGAGTTGTTATGGCCTTTTTTTTGTCAATAGCTCTCTCTTTTTTACATAGACACTTCAGACCAACTTTACATTCACGGAACTCCTCCAATTATATACACAACCTTCAGTTAGAAAGAAAATAAATTATTTGAAATATTATGATATTACATATCAAAAAACGCCATGGCAAAGGGTATACATTCAAAACCTGCCTCAAACCTGAAGGATACACGCAATATAGCTTTTGTTTGTTTACAAGAAAACTTCACAGGGCACATTTAAATCAAAGTGTCAAACTAGGTGGAGACACATAACCGATACTTTGCTGGGTCTATCAAGAGTCTTCCTGGATGGAGAGCAAATGATTAACACAGACCTCCTGTTAAAAGATGTACAGCTCAGCAGCTTCTCCTGGACCCCTGTCAGCACAGATTACAACAAACATTGTTGCTTCCACCATAAAGCTGTATGGAATTCAGGGTTCTCCCCATAGAGAAGGTTAATGAGACCCTGCTCTGTAAAGTATGGCAGCCCCTTTAGACCATCATCTGTCTTCTCACTTGCTCCATCTGACTTATTTTTCCAGCTGACACCAGCGAAAATAAAAAATAACACTGGAATACGCTAATTATCTTTCAAATTTATATCATCTAAAACAACTCTGTTAAGTTAGAAAAGATTTTGGTAATGGCAGACAAGTTATTTGTTAAGGTCCAGATGTGTAAAATTATCTATGACAGAAATGCAATCCAAGATCCATAACTATGTTTTCCGTGCTGTATAAAGACCTTACATAATGAACCGTTGAAATGAGTTTTTATTACCTTAGAATGAGAAATTTCTTGCTACATAATCATGGGTCCCTCTTACATGGAAGTTGCCATGTTGCGTCATCATGTTTCTACAGTAGCCCAAATGGACAAACTGCTCTACAGAATGCATTTCGTCACTACTCGTCACTACGTTGAATAGTCAACGAAGAAGAAAAAGAAGAAGTTGTAGTAGTAGTAGTAGTCATGTGGTTTATTAAAAGTAAGAAGAGAAATGAAATTCGGACAAAGACCACACCTATTATTTAGCTCAAGAGCTGACAGAGCGTGTCGGCCACCGTAGATTCTCCTGCACGCTTGGGTGAGCGCTGACTGATGGTGCATTCAAGTGGTGTCAGAATAATAGGATTTTTTTTTCCTCCTTGCAAAAAGAGTAATAAAGTGTACATGGGACATACAGAAGTCTACAGAACAGTATACAAATATATAAGAAGGAACAAATAATAAAATCTTTGCCAGAGGTAGTCTATATTAGATAAATATATTTAAAGAGGACCATATGTTGACAATTTTTAACAGCCTTCTGTTGTTGGATTTAGAAATTAAATTGATATAATGTGCAACCTTATGGAGAAAAGTTAGAAAGTTCTACTGCTGAATTTACATTTATGAATGTGGAATTTTACCATTACAATTAATGGGAAATGACACCATCCAACGAGCATGTGAATGCACCAATAGATGTCACTAAAACTTATAAACTGAACCTTTAAGGTAAATCTGTAAAATCATTACAAAAATCATTGTCATGTTTAAAGAAAACCAAAAACTTGGTAAGAGACAGGAGACAAATCCAGGTTGCCAGTGGCAAAGTCAAATGCTTTGAATACCCATCCATCAACTATGATAGGCATACTCTTTATGCCTCTTCACATAGAGATGACATACTCAAAATACACTCTTTTGAACCATACCACACAGGGTCAATACACAAATGAGTAAATTTGTTTCAACAACTAAATAATAATGAGTATGGTAACTTGTATTTATTACAGTTCCATTTGCACTGCATTACATTATCAAGTATTAGCACAAGATTAGAATTCAAAGTGGGCAGTACCACAATAAATACAGCGCCAAACATAATTCATTTTAGTGGCTTTTCTTCCATTAATGAATCCTTCTTTAATTTAGCTATACGTTTGAGCTAACAGACAAAATAGTGGACGACCAATTTATATAGTTAGCATTTTAAAATTTCTAATGAAACCAGAACAGAAAACAGAGCAAAATTATGTTATCTTGCTAGACTAAACCTAGATTATTTTATCTTTTATCGTTTTCCCCTCTCTGCTGTGAAACATTTACTGGTGTTGTCCCAGGACTCCACTCTGCTGCTCTGCTCCTCCTCTCTCACTGTCAGCTGCAGAGCCGCCGCACCTAAAAGCACAGCTAGTTATTTTGAAGCTTCTATTTTTCAGGATTTTAACTCATGTTCCTAGAGAGTTTCAGCCTCTTTTTTACATTCTTTATCTTAGTTGTTCATGTAAAACAAGTCAGCCTCAGTAAGCTGCTATAGCTGGGTCAGTGCAAAAACTGCGTATTGAAATGCTTCCATGGAAATTGTGAAGCAACGTGCAAAATTACCACAAAGACACATAATAAAGACCACTAAGAGACCACTAAGAGATGTAAAAATGACCACAAAGAGATGCAAAATGATGACAAAGACATGCAAAATGGCCGTAAAGAGATGCAAAATGACCACAAAGGTATCCAAAATTCTATAAAAAAGCTGACTCAAAGAACTTTTACTCATTTTAAATATGCGCCCCCCCTTCGTTAGAACAGTGCCCCAGTATGCCTCCCCCTTCAAAAGTTGGCCTGTCCCGTTTGCATTTTGTTTTTGTGTTTGTTTTTTTTTTGTCTTTGTATCTTACATTTACCAGTTTATACAGTTGCCACATTAAGTACTTGAACCTTATGTGTGCACTTTATTATTTTCTGATTATTATTTTCCGGACAACCCACAGTGTCAGTGCTTCAAATAACATAAATATGTAGGAACAAGTGAACAAACCTTGTCTTCCTGCAGAAGCCTGCAGCATATCCTCCTACAAGCTCTTTTTAAAAGCACGTTCAATTTCACCAATAAAACTTTGAAAGTACAGCCGGTGTTAAGTTCTTAATGGATTTTGGCTGGTTATTACCTGCTATTGTATTTTTAGCCCACATATGAAGCAATAATATCCTGTCCCAGTTAAGTGTGATTGTGGTTACATAATCAGATGGAGTGTAGCGGTGCAGTGTTGTTCAGCTGTGGGCTCAAGAGCTTCAAAACGCCCATCCATTCAGAGAGAGAACATGAAACTTTCTTTCCTGGCTTCCTGTCCTCATACTTTTTTCTGTCATGTCTCCAGTTATAGATTTTGCTTTCTGATCACCACATGCACTACCCCTCCCTCATTCCCTTTTTCTTTTCATTTTCCTCCCTCCATACCTTCA